CAAGCCCTACATAACAGAAAGAATTCTCAATCTGGCTGGCAGACGCTATGGTAACACTTTGGTTAATGCAGTAAACTCAGCGGCTAAGCAGTTCCACCAAACGTTAAGTGTATGCAGGGATGTGTGCACAGACATGGTAATCACACCATTTAGAGTGGAGAATAATTTAAGAAAGTCTTCCTTTTTGACACTAAATAGATTCAGAAAACAATAATGCAGTTCCAACACTAGATACCATTTTTGGGGCTTCTCAAACAACACAAATGACTGAGACTGCCCTGTTGAAAGTAACTAGTACTTGTTATGGCAGGAAAAATTATGCCATTTTAATGTATTCATATTCTGCATATCAATTCATACTGACACTGCTTATGATCCTTAGGCTTTTCTCTGATTTAGTAGCCAGCTCTGCATTGGATGTTACTGCATATTCATCTTCATTCTTTGGTAAGTTTGTTTCAATTTTCAGTATTAGTTCTACATTTTGTTGACCACTGGCCAGTCCTTTGACCTGTTTTGCGTGCAGAAATCCATGAGATAGCGCTGTGTGTGTGTAACAAACTCGAATGTTTTTTGACAACTGGGATAGAGATAAAGGAGTGCAATTAAGTCAGTGAGCATTTCCCAAATGCTCTTCCAAGTGATATCGGTTGGCTTTTATGTGCAGTTTACAGCAGCTGTGGTCTAACTAAAGATCAGAACTTCTCTACTCTAAATGTATAGACCATAGACAATAGAAAAGCATGATGAGGGAGACCCTTTTGGGATCTGAAAAGCTGTCTTCCTCAGCCATTTACCTGTCATACAGAGGTGTAACGGGGATAGCGTGACAGGACAACCTGCCACAATTACGCATTCTCAAAGCATCTTTAATAAGACCGACAGGTAAACAATAACTAATCCTAACAAACATGAATACTTTTTTTTTTTAAATGTAAATTCTTTTTTAAACAAACAAAGAAACAAAAAGATGCAATAAAACAAATAATAGCATTAAATGAAGCAGGGTGATAATCCATAAAGTGTATTCATCCCTGGACTGGGGCATGTGAGGGCCAGCTTCGCAGCCCCGTTCTGACAGGGAGTAGAAATCCAAGTCAAGCGTGTTGACCTAGTTCACATTAAGTATTTAATCTGACAAAACCTTTCGCCTTTCCCACAGCAGGGGAAAAGAGCACATGCTGAAATTTCAGTGAGGTCATGGAACAGATCTGCTGAAATCTGATCCACCACTTTTTTTTGGTTAAAAAACCATGTTTAGAATCATACAATCTTGGAAATAACTTTGTAGCCTCCATTAATTCAGTGATGAGAAATACATTAAAAATTCTGAAATTCTTAAGCCTATATCCATGTTTAAATAACAACTTAATAATTAACAAGACTTACATCAGCTTAAGAGTATAAGAAAAGTGTGTATTTTTCCTTTGGGGAATCTCTGTGTATGCCTATCTAGTGCTTTCTGTTGTAAAATGTTACAGAAAAGGCAGGAGAAAACTGTGTATCTCAGGAGTTTTCATTAAAAGTCTATTCCTTTTTCTATATGAGTTTTTTCTTCCAAGCTCTGTGAAATATTTTTGTTTTAATTGTAGATGTCACTTTAAGCATATGTAGTTAGATCTATTTCCTAGCATATGTGTGCTGAAATCTAGGGAAGTATGTTGAGTTTATACTGGAAATTTATAAGCCTATACAAAACTCATTTAAACTTCATAGAAGTTTATTTTCATTAAGGAAAAACCTCACCACCAGGCTATGGGCTGTATGTTGAAAAGAACAGGCAGAGCAGCACGGACTGGAGATCTGCATCCTTTCCCCAAACTCATAAAAAATGCAGCCTAAGAAACCCATGGTCTCCTGTCAGCCTGTCCTCTCCTCTTGCCTGTGCCTCCAAAGTATACAGCTCACATCCAGAGGAGAGGGTCCAACAGCAAAGCGTTTGTCTGGGGAGCAAGTACCTGATGTGAGTTTGGGGGTCTCAAAGCCGTGACCGGTGTGTGGGTTGAGGCTGCTGTCCGGAGTGCTGTGGGTGAGCTGACACGGCCTTCCCTGGTGGAGGTCTGCATTGGTTATGGAAAAGGTGCTGATCTTGTGGGTGGTACCACGGTGAATGGCATTACCCACACATGCCGATTTAAGTTGCACTTTCACTGGAACATTTACAGTTTTCTTGCCCTTCCCCTTGTTTTTAATTCAATGTCTTAGTTGAGAGAAGGCTGAGAAATTAAAAAACTAAACAAAATGCCAACAAGACAGAAAAAACAGTGCTCTGCCAGAGCTGGCTGTAGGAAAGCAATGGCAGTCATCCAGAAGCAAGGATAAAAATCTCAAAGCAAGAACACTGAAAGAACCAGCTGGGAAAAAGCAAACACATGAACAGAAAATGCAAGTGTGACGCTAAACCAAGGACCAAGCAGGTGAACCCTTGTCTTAAACGAATGTTTTTAACTTGTATCTTAACACATGTTGTTTGAACTGTATTTAGCAGCAGTGTATGTGCACTAGTAAAGTTAACAGCTTATGCCAGGTGTCAGTGCAGAATGAAAAGATGAAATAGAACAATTTATTGCACAACTTATGCCCATTGATACAAAAAAAGGAGTAAAGCTTGCAGTAGTTGGCTATTGTCTTTATTTCCCTCGCTTGTAGTATCACTGATGTTTAAGGAAAACTAGCAGTTAGTACATGAAATTTCTTTACTGTCCTATATTATGCTACCAGGGCACTATGAATATGCAAATGTTTTTTAGAGGGGGGAAAAAAAAAGTATTTTTGTGAGTAGAATCACCATCAGCATCTTGATTCTGAAAGACTTAAGTTTGCAATTTTAAAATCAACTCATGCTGGCCATTCCAATTTCACATCATTATTTTAAATTATTTTTAATTAAAGAACTGCATGTTTGAAGGAAGACAAATATTAAAATGTTTTAATTAAGATTACAGATTATCCAAATAACTGTCAGCCAAATCTAAAAAGTATTTTTGTAGGTTTTAGGATAACTTATAGACAGTGATAATACAGATGCATTCCAAAAATATGTTGTACTTATGCTGGTATCACTTCATGATGTTAATATGGTTTACCTAGTTGCTTCTTTCTGTGTCTGTGACAGTATTTTTCCAAATAAGAGAACCCAAAGTGAAAGGAGGGTATAAAAGCCCTCCTGCTTCTGAACTGTGGTCTGCCAAAACCTATCTTTCTAGTTACATTCTGTATATTTACTACAGGTGACAAGTACAATAGATCTAATGGATTCAGTGTTTGAAACAATTAATGCCAGCTGGGATTTCTTAAGTCTAAGTAATATTAATCTTTCTAAGCTCAGCTGACAGTCCAAGTGACATGACCTTTTTAAAAAGTAGCTTTAAAATCTTTCTGGCAAGGCAAGAAAACGGTATTAAGCTTACCTATCTTGCATTCATGAGTCTTTAGATATATGCATATAAGAGAACCCACTTCTTTTTACAAACTACTGAATTGGCTGGAGGTGTTCCACAGCCATCTGACAGTAAAATACCACAGCAATTCTAAAAGCTGTGCTCAAGCATGATTCATCTGAAAGAAAAATTGAAAAGAGTAATAAAATGGATGTTACTTATAATACACAAAATAGCTCAAGACTTTAGATGAAATGGTCACTGGGAGTCTTGAAGAGAAATGAAGCAAACTAGTTTCCAAACTTCCTTCACTGTCTTGCTTTCCACTAAAAACATCTCCAAACTTTACTTGGTTAAGACCTCCAAAAGTCAGATATACTGGATTAAGGATTATCTAAAAAGGACATTAACTCTCTTCTGTTTTCATACTAAAAAATCATTAGAGATTTTTTAAACTGTTATGAATATTAGGCCAATGATTGCTAGAATAGCAATGTGCATGTGCACATTTATGCATGTGAAATTACACAAATCTGTAATAGTAGGGAGGAAGGAATGCTGAATGTTCCAGCACATACTAAATTACTACTCAAAAAATGCTTTGTATATTTGGCAGGTTTACAAAACAAAATAATTATTCACACCATATTTGCAAGTTCCAGTTTGTGGAGTAAATAGAAAGCAATGTTTTAAAGGAATACATTTTAAATAAAAAAAAATATAATTAGTTGCTATATTAAGGTATGAATAGTATATATTGCTTTAGGAAGGATGAAACACATAAATGCAAAACAACTAATTCGTTGTAAGCAGCATTTGTAATAAGGGTTAGTCTATTAGTTGTAGTACATTACATGCAGAGTCAAGGGATCAGAGATCCTTCCCGTGTACCCTTGCCATTTTCTCCATAGTTTTGCTGTTCTGTATTTCATAAACTGCTTACTCAGAACTTGTCCATATTGTAAACCTGGAAGTCAGAGTTTTTACTTGTCAAAGAAAAATCATTAACCTTACAATTTAAGCATTTGACTTGCATTAGTGAGGATATTCAAGTTTGGCTTCCACATTGTTAAACTATTTGCTGGTTTAACAACATATACATGGCCTCTAACAAGCTGCAGTAACAGCTTTTTCATTTAAATGCTGAATTAAAAGTAAGACCACCAGCAGAGAAAATGAGCATACTTGGATAGCGCTTATCCTCTATCAACCTAAAAGCGATTGCAACTTTTTATATCCATTCTTCCTAGGAACAAATTAATTTTTCTTCTGTCTTCTCTTTGTGATCCTCCCCTTGTTTCTATACATCTGCTGCTTTTTAGGAGTAAGATACCACATTAGTTGTACTGCAACATAACATGGCAGGCACGTTCTGATAAAGTAATTCCCTGCCCTAACTTATAAGCAACAAAAAAAATTACAGAATACTTAATCTGCAAGTAAATCTGTTAAGTTCCTTTTATATCATACCATTTGCACTGCAAACATACCAAATCTTCATCCTAGAAAGAAGCCTGGGTTCACCAATTAAGGACCTAATCATAAGAACTGCCAGCAGCCATACTGAAAGGAGAGCTGAAGTCTGATTTTTACCTGAAGTGAGGCACTAAACCAATGAACTGTAGATAAAAGCTTTATTTTTTTTTTTCAAGGGAAAGCAGGTAAACTCAAAAAATAATTTAGTCCAGTGAGTAATTTTTCTGTAAGTATCAGCAACAGTTTACTCCTTATTAAAAGGGCTATACAAATAGTCACTTAAAAGATGTTAATTCAAAGCCAGCAAAAAGGGAGGAAATGCCCTTTGCTGATCACACTCGTAACTGCTTGTTGCCATTTTTCTGTGACAAATATGGATATAGGTTACCAATACAAAAACCAGGAACATCACCTCTCTGAGCAACAAAGAACTCCTTTCTTTGGATGTTGGTTGTGTAGGGATGCTAAGAAAGACTGACTGCTGCAAAAATTATTTTCTTTTTTGTTTTAAAAAAAGTCTTCTGGCTGTTGACCTTCATGCTCCAACATCAGAGGCTGTAGCTGGGTATCTGTAGCAATACAGTTTGTTGTCTGCACCTCCACTCAATAGCAACTGATGAGAGGAAAAAAAACTGTGATTAATATCAGAACTAAGCAAAGTACCTACACAAAAGTTGAGGATTCCAATTTTCTTTCCTTTGAAGACATAAAAAGAAGTAATGAATAATATGCTGTTAATGCACAACTAAAGCCCAGAATCAAAGTGCAGAAGCAACCTTGTCTCTTACCCTCCTCCTAAAATTAGAAGCAGAGTTTTTCCAGGAAAATTTCTAAAGCTCTTCCTGCCTTTTACTGAGAACAGGAGCCACACTGAGAATATTGAACATTAACAAAATGTTTTTTTCCCATTTTATACATGTGCGTACCACTACCATAGTAGAACAGCTTGCTGTAGAGGATTATATAGTTCCTCCCTTCTACATGTAGTGCCATGCCCCAGCTGTCAGTTCATGCTGCTGCTTTAGTCTCCATGGCAGCAAATGGTACCTTAGAACAGGTACTTTCTCAGCAAGGTGTGGTGCTGGTCTCGTGTCTCTCCCTGTTTGGAATATCAGTGTAACAAGCACTTAATACTACAGAGTTTAAACTCCCATCCTACTCCCTTGCACAGTAGCATGGGGGAAGCGCTGCAGTGGGTGTGACAATTAACAGCCCATTATACCAACCCAGGATCAACCACAGCACAACTAAAACTTGCTGTTCTCTTTCTGTCTTTAAGCATAAAGGAAAAAATAGTCCATGACTGCTTTTAGCCCTCTTCCTAACCACCATGCATATGAATTGAGTAACTTGCTCTTCAGATTCTTACCCCTGCTTCTGTCCAGTCCACACACAAAACCTTGTCCTCATGAGCAGCCAAGTCGTACAGAGGAGCTTTGCAACTGTAAAACACAGGTATTTACAGTCACACGTTTGACGTTATGTGAGCAATCAGAGAAAACAAAATTGATCCCTGGAAGAAATAGTATCATGATGCTATCAAACACATATGGTCTAGCAGTTATAAACACTTCCAGAGAGAACAGGTATCTACCATGTGTGACGTTTTCTCTGCTCTCTCCAGAGCTGATCACATCAGTGTTAACCTCTCCTACATCCCCAAAGAGAAAAGCAGCAACATTTTTCACCTGCTTGCAAACTACCCCAAGACTGAAATTTAATCAGTCTCCTTGTTAGGAACAGTTTATTACATAGTTTCCTTCTTCCACATGTGGATGCTGCTCGACATGTGTGTTTCCCAGAAAAGCTAGCTATGTCTTTTGAATGCAAACCAGTTCATTGCTTGGAAATTTGTAATGAAAGGTCTGAAGAGAGTATCAAGTGAAACTTCACACTGTTAGGCTCTTTCCTTAGAAAGAGAATGTATTTTGTTCCTTAAAATAGAGGAATGGTTAGCAGACCTTCTGCTGTTCCTCATTCCAGTAGCAATGTTATGGTTGCTGCACGCTGCATGTCAATCAATGCTCCTGTTAATGCCAGGTAAGTCCCATGTTGGAACGCCATACAGCGCTCACAGATGTTAAGCCACAGGTCCTCTGTTAGACTACAAGTATTTTCCTCCCTTTCATTATATACTTGACTTCTAAAACCTAGAGGATTTTCACAAACGCCACAGGAGTTTCCAGTGAATGTCTCAGACTACTTTTGCTATTTCATTATGTTAACTGACCCTGTAAGCTTACATGCCTTTGAACAGCAAAGAACAGACATTTATTTTACCTCCTTGTGTCCCAGAGCTTCACAATGTTGTCCAGAGAACCAGAGATCAGCTGATGCTCATGGGTAGGTGACCACTTCACAGATGTCACCCAACCTGTGTGAGATGTTAGAGACAGGAGAACCAAGGAGCCATCTGAACAGAAAAAGAGGAGGGGGAAAAAAAAAAAGACGACATCAGTAGATGCCAACTGAAAACAGCACTTTTAAGATGCATACAAAATCCAGTGAGAAAAGCACTCAGCAACATATTTGTGTTCAAGGTAAGTGTTTCTCCCACCAGTAATTCTAACTTCACAAATCAAAGTGAACTTAAAAGAAATCAAACAAAAATACAAGCCACATGCGTTTCTTGTCACTAAACTCCCTTTTCAAAGACCTTTGAAAAAAGCAAATAAAAAAAAGCTTTTATCATTAACATATACAAGAAGATAATTACTGTTAAACTGTAGATTAGATTTATAGAAGCTAAACAAGTAAACATGTCTATGAAATAAAACTGGCAGGCTCAGTCTTAAGTTATCCACAATCCTGTCAGACATGGTGCCACTATTATCATAACAAAGCGACTACTATTTCACTTTAATGATGGTCTGACCAACTTAGGTGTTAACCTTGCAAAAAAAAAAATTCAGGTCTGCAACTCTACAATTGGAACTCTCATTAGTAAGTTTAAAAAAAAAAAACAAAAGACAAACTTGAGTTAGTTTTATAAATTATTAAGTGAGAAATCAAAAGAAGTCTTGCAGTCTTGCATCCGATTTTAATAAAAGCCCCAAAATGGCTTGTTTCAAGCAGAGGGACCAGAAAACAGTTTATGAGACCTCTCCCAACACAGAGAAGTTCTGATTTTGAAAAAACTCTGAGAACATGCATGTTTTATTTCACCTTTGCTGCGAGGATCCCATAGCCTAATATGTCTGTCAGTGCTCCCAGATGCGAGGCGTCGACATAGTGGCGAGTAGGAGACAGAATTAAACACTTTGTTTCCTGTCTGTCAGAAAAGAAAAGAATAACTCTTAAGAGAGGAGCTACTGTTTTGCACAACTTTTTTCTTTGAGCTGGACTTCAGGTGAGCCTACAGACAAAGTGTAATGATCTTACCAAAGTTGATTTGAGATCTCCAGTCTCAGCATCCCAGAGTTTAACGGTGTGGTCCCATGATGCACTGCAAATTTCTTCAGTGTCTGACCACAGCACAGAGGAGACAGCTTCTGTGTGGCCAGACAGGGTTGCCAGGGGAGTCTAGAATTTAAAAGGTGAGAGGAGATTAGATTGAGTATCGTCAAAAGACTATTCTTTCAACAAATAAAAATCCGTGTCTGATCAGCCTGAGACATATCACTAGAAGTTTTCATATAGTCACTTTTAACAAAGATAAATTATTTTATGTGGCCACACTTCTAAAATAAAATCCTGGACAAACTTGGAGCTCATCTTACCCTTGTTAGTCCCAACTGTTCAGTTTTCTGCTTCTTCCGTGGTCTGTTAGCTGCTTCTTCCATTTCATCCTCTTCATCTGTAGGTACTGTGACAGGAGATAGTCATACTTGATCTAGAGGTTTTTGAATTCCATTTCCATATAAGTAATTATGCAAAACCCCATAGTTACAGTAACTAACCTGTCTATGATGCATGAATATTTTAACCTTACACCTCTGATCAGATCAGTATTGTTTCCTTTTTGAGCAAGGAGAAAATGAATACAAATTAAGTGATATTCTCCAGGTCACGCAGTTTTAAAATGAAGTCCCAATGAGTTCATAAGACCATCCTCACTCATGGAAAATGCCAACAGTAATTCAGGTATGTGAAAAACAGTCTTCCTTTTAGATACAATACCTACTTATATAGAATCATAGAATCATTATGGTTGGAAGAGACCTCAAAGATCATCAAGTCCTACCTTCTGCCCAACGCCACCATGCCCACTAAACTATGTCTTGAAGCGCCACATCTAGACATTTTTTGAACAACTCCAGGGATGGTGACTCCACCACCTCCCTGGGGAGCCCATTCCAGTGTCTAATGACTCTTACAGTGAAGAAGTTCTTCCTAATACCCAGCCTGAACCTCCCCTGGCACAACTTCTGACCATTTCCTCTTTTCCTATTGCTAGTTACTGGGGAGAGGAGACCAACTCCCACCTCACTACAACCTCCCTTCAGGTAGTTGGAGAGGGCGGTAATGTCTCCCCTCAGCCTCCTCTTCTCCAGGCTAAACAACCCCAGCCCCCTCAGCCGCTCCTCATAAGACTTGTTCTCCAGGCCCTTCACCAGCTTTGTTGCTCCAAATATACTCCCAAACTGAAAGAATATGACTTGCAACAGTTAAGTAAAGCATTCAGATCACATGGGATTAGTCTACATTTCTAGAAAAAACCTGGTCATCTTACTGTCCTCCATATTATGGTGTCAATAATAGAACGGGAAAATAACCCACAAACTTTTGATTTGTTAGAAGTCTATACTCAAACATTTATATAAATATATTAAAAATAAATGAAAGAGATAAGTTACTGTGTTCTGAATAAAATAAATATCAACACACAGTTGATAACTATATCTGAAATTGTGTTACCAATCAAAACAGTAACTTCATATAGTGATGTATAGCCTTATAAAGCTTACTTTAAAAAAAAAAAAAGTTCTAGCTTGCTTTTAATATTACAGACCCAAATTTTCTTAAAGAAAAAAGTATTCAAATATCCACATTTCATGTTGTTCTAAGTGCAGTTTTTTTTAAAGAGACCCAAGAATCCCAGCTTACCTGCAGACCAGATCTTTAACATCTTATCCCAAGATCCACTGCAGAACTGTATGAACAGAAACATTTTGTTAAAAGTTGATCCAGACAGACCTTGTAAGCCATACTAAATACACTTCCTGCTTGAAAAAATAACCAATGGGTTATAACACATGAAGAACAGTGCTGGGCTCCTCAAACAAAAACAAACAAACAAAAACAAAACAGAAAAGATTTGGCATAGATCAAATTATTCTCTTCCCTTCCTTTACAGGAAAAATATCTACAAAATATCTCTTTATTTCCTTCAGCACCAACAGGTTTTATTTTATCCTGTCTGATATTGAGTCAAGCTGGGAGCGATGACTCCACCTTTGGTGCGAGTGCTCTTAACTGTTGAATTCCTGGATAAAGGGAAAGGATTTCTTCTACCACCTGGTTTTTCTGAGTATAACTCTGGAAAATTTTTTCCCCACCAAAACTACTGTGAAAATTTAGGTCAAAGTTGAAAATAGGTCATTAAAACAGAAAATTCACATGCATTAGAAGTAAAATTTACTTAAAAAAGAAACGTTCAGCTTCACTCACAGAAGTCAAAAGCAGCAGTATAATGGCTTGCGCCATGTAAAGTCACGTTCAGCTTTTTGTGATATTAGAGATGAAGTGCATCACTTTGAAAAGATTGCCTAGTGTTAATACAGCACTTCTAATCCTCCGTAACCACCATTTATAACAAGACTGGGAACTTTGAACAGTGTGTCAATCATAATAACATGATGACTAGTACCTATGCAGGGACAAAAAGATGATTATTGAGATACAGGCTGCTAACATCCCAAAAGACAAAGGTTTCTTTCCAGGAGTCACTCACTTTAGTTCTCGTGCAATCAACAGCTATGGAGTCTACACTCCCGGCGTGTCCCCTGCAGCAGTGAAGGGCTTTCACTTTGTTTTTTTCCACATTCCACTCCCATAACAGGACAGTTTGGTCCATAGAAGCACTGAGTAACAGGCATGATAAACTATCTGAGGAAGAAGAAAAAGTCATGCTCACACCCAACCTGGCTTTCCAAGGTCTTTATATATAATTATTCTAGTCACAAAAGAAATAGCAGACAGACAGAAACTCATACTTATCTCAGTTTACATCATGTTACCCTGCAAGTACAATTGATATAAATATACATACCAGTATTTGCTAACAAAGACTGCAAGACGGATAGACAACGTATATGTTAAACTATATTCACTACTGTTAAAGGACTGGTTTACTTGCACCATGACTTCATTTATAACACCACTGACAAAGATTGAAATAATTGTAGCACTTTGACAATTAAATATTCTGGTTGAGGAATGCTGACATTTCTCCCCCAATAAATCAAACTATTACTACTCCTCTAATATATATCTACCAACCTTGCTTCACCCATGCCACATCCTTTACTACTTCTGTATGCCCAGCTATTGTCATGATGGATTTTCCTTCCAAAGACCAGATTCGAGCAGTCTGATCATAGCAGCCAGTTAATATCCTACAGGGTACAGAATTTGAAACATTATTGTCTTTAAAACCAACATTATTCTGAAAAAAAGCCTCAACCAGAAACTTGGAAAAATATTAGCATAGTAACTGGTTAGCTGAAATGAATTCAAAATATGCTAGTTTGAGTGGTTAAAAAAACAAAAGAGTTTGGAAAAGTGAAACAACAAAAAAAATCTTTTTGTTACAGAGCAAAGCTTCATTAAAACCTACAACTGCAAAGCTAGGAGTACAGGCCAAAAAGAAAAGCAATGACAGTACTGCATAGTCTGGTAGGTGAGACTTAAGATCGCTTAAGTCATTTAAAATAAAAGATAATTGGTTGTTCATGGTATGTTACTAGAGGATCCTAAAGCATTTTCAAACCATTACTTGATATAGGAACATTGCCTAGTTGATTGGAAAATGAATATGAAAATACAGTAGAAAAGGACAATTATGGTGGTTTGGGTTTTTTTTAAAGAAAAGCTCTGCATAAACATACAGTATTATATTTGTTGCTAATGAATGTCACATTTGAAGTCAAGGGATTAAGCTAAAAAGAGAGATAAGGAAATGTTGCTGTCCTTTAAGAGAAAGGATAGTCAACAGCATTTGTATTATCCATTTGTATTAACAATACATCATGTTCAGTGACTCTGGCTTGTCTTAAAGTCACTGTCAGCATAGAATAGAGGTGTTAAAACTGAACTGCTTACAAAAGCAAGTAGCTGACTGACCTGACAGGTTAAAAAAGCAAAAATCAAAACAGAGCAGAGGCACGGGGCGGAAACCCAGATTATTAAAGAGACAGAATACCACTCCATTTGACACCATGGAGTCATCTGGAGGAATAAGCAAGACAAAACTTAGAATTGGCTTAGTGCAGTACCATTCTTCAGTGGCTTGAACAGAACTGATCCAGTCGTCATGGAAGATGCATTCCTCTGGCTGAGGGGCCATATATTTCTCCACATACTCTATTTCCACCACTTCTTCCTGAGCTCGCAGACAAAATACTTATTTAGTGTCGTTTTATTTTTTTTAATTGATAACAGTAATATTTAACCATAGTCTGGTACAAATACACAAGTTTATTGGGCAAAGATCTTGGTATCCGAGTCCTTTGCCACTTTAAGTGAATTAAAGTCTCTAGAAAAAAGTGTCTGAATTATATTGCTTTCCATATTTTTATCAAATTACTACTAATAGCAAGCTGGAAGCAAAAGCAAATGATGTCTCTGCTCAGGTTCATCTTCCTCTCTATTTACCGATACAAAACTGGGGTCTAAAATACTTCACAATGTTTTCTAGAAGTTAGTACTAACCTCCCCCATTATGCCCCAATGTAACTAATAGAGTAGGAGACAAAAATATATTAATGATGAAATGTGTAAGACAAGAATTTCCCCTCTGAACTGTATACAGACAACAGACTGGATAACAATGTTCCTTGCACCCCTCAGCCCCATGCTCTAATCACTTTGCAGTTGAGAATGGATTTAAAAATACAGGGAATTCTCCTGGGAAAGTCAAAAAAGAAATAAAACAGAGCAAGGAAATCTACTACCTAGTCAGGATGACAGTGTAATACCTAAATCAGATTGAAGTAAACAATCTAAGCTTGTTTTACTGTCCAAGATGGGGAGAAATGGAGTATGACTTACCGTGGAGATATTTTCCATTTCCATGTGCGTGACCAGTGGCATACGCAAAAACTGGCCATTGATAAGGAAGTCAAATTCCACATATTTGTAATCCGCTGAAAGAAATTAGGAAAAATCCATGTTCAGGTATATATTTATTCGATACCATCAAGAACAGCATCATTCTGTGGCTGGTTCAGGAGAATGGAACGAGCAAGAGGTTAAAAAAGACAAAAAGCAAACAAAAAAACCCCAACAAAACAGTCAATTTCTTCTCCCAGTTCTAAGTGGGCAGCCCATGAATTCCACAGGATTATGTAAGTTAAGAGGAAGGAAAATTTTCTGTTGGGGTTCAAAGAGTTAAGTTTGCCTCTTATTGTTAACACATTATTTTCTAAATCCTTTTCTCTGTAGCTATGTCTAATCAAACACCAGTGGTACTTCATCACTGTTCTGGACGGAGCTTGTCACTGCCAGCCCACACCTTTATAATCACTAGCTAGAGGCAGCAATAGGAAAATCCTAAGAATTTCTGGTTCATATTTCTGCCTCTGTAGCGGAACAGTTGACAAAGGCCCCATGTTTTGACAAGAGCATTGCACTGTGCACTAGTTTTCTATTCAAGGTTGTTTGAGATGTCATGAGTTAAAAACAACTGGCAGAAGTCTCAGCAAGTTAAGATACAATTAGTCTAGTTTCTTACAGGAACTGAGATTTTTCAACAACATTGCACAGGTGTCTTCCCCCCAAAAATCTTTCAAGTCAGTCAGGCCCATTTCAGCTAGCATTGACACAATGGTTGAGCTCTTCTCAAAAGCTTTCATAAACCCCAAACCTTTGGTTTCATTAGCTCTTTTGCCAGGTTTTGGGGAACACTTCCATTCCCATCTGCTGGGGCAGCTTGGTCTGTGGTACTGGGCACACTCTAATCCAGCCTTCGGAGCTTTTCACTGGGGCCTGCCCACTCGTGCTGGTACCTGCTGAGTTTCAGATCAAGTTCAAAGAGCGCCTTGCTCTGGATAGCCAGCCCAAAACAGAAGGGCAGGCCCAGCTCAGGCCGAAGCCTGATCTCACTGAGGGGCCTCTGGGTACCAGGGTGCCGCTTCTGACTTTGCTTTGGCGGGGCCTGCCCTGAGCCGTCCCGCTTGCACTGCAACGGGCCAAGTTCAGCCAAAGCAGGAGCCTGACTCGCCTGGGGTGCGTGGGGCAGCGTGTGGCGGAGCCGCAGGCCGTGCCCTCACCTGGGGCCTGTGGTCAGAAAGGCGGGGAGGGAGCGGAACTTGTCACCCCTCGGCAGAGCCGGCGAGTGCGTGAGGCCGGCGCCGGCTCGGGGCCGCTCTGAGCTCCCGC